CGGTTCAATCCCCCAGCACCACATGCCAGCCAGAACGCCCCCTGGTGGGCGGTGGGCTGAGCTGGCCTCTCTCTCTCTCTCTCTCTCTCTCTCTCTCTCTCTCTCTCTCAAATAAATAAATAAAAATTAAAAAAAAAATAAATAAAGTGGTACAGTTAGCAGTAACAGCAGCATCAAACACAGCCTAGAAAATGACAAACTGAAGTAACCATTAATTTGCCACCTTTAACTGTTATAAACTAGATTTGTGGTTATATATACAATAATCTAAAACCAGAAAATTGTATGTAGTTTTTGGGGTTTTTTGTTTTTTGGGGTTTTTTGTTTGTTTGTTTGTTTGTTTGTTTGTTTTTGGTTTTTGGTTTGTTTTTTTTTGTTTTTGTTTTTGTTTTTGTTTTGGAACGGGGGATTGAACTCAAGCCCTTGAGCTTGCCAGGGAAGCACTTATTGCACTGAGCCATCTCCCTGGCTCCTGTATTTAGTTAATAAAAACTCAATATGTCAATTTTTCTCTTGAAGGAGAAAATTTTAAAGGGTTAGATGAAAATATAGAGAAGCAAAAGAAGAGATTAGAATCAAGGCTAGAGAACAAAGGAGGATCCTGTAAACTTTGAGAAACTAGTGCAGAAGACAGGAAGGAAAGAGAAAAGGAAGAACGAAAAGGGAGAACAGAACAACAAGCACAAAGAAAATAGAAACCATGTTCACACTCATATAAAAACAAGATCAAACAATGAAGGTGAAAAAACAAAACAAAACAAGAAAAGAGAAAAAAAGATGTTGTCTGTCTCTGTTGTCTCTGCTGGACAGTCTGTGGAGGCAGAGTCCAGATCTGTGTTGATTTATCCCAGCAAGACAGCAGTTGCTTTATGGTAGGGCAGTGGATAATCTTAAGTGAACCTGCACCTTTATTTTCCCTGAAATTTCTGGCTGTGAGGCTGAGACCAGATCTGTTCAGTCTGCAGCTGTCAGCATACCTTCTTCAGGCTTGAATTCTGCTAGAAGCTGATGGATGGAACCAGTAGTTGTTCTGAGTTCTTGGCTCAACTGGCCTCTTTTCAAAATGATTTCCAGTCAGTCACCCTCTCCCTCACGAGATCTGTACTGGCAGCACTCACTCCCAGATAGTGCAGTCCTCCACATCCACATCCACTGTTCCCTGCCAGTGCTGTGTCTTTCCATGTGTCCACAGGTTTGAATCTCTCCTCCCATATAATGGGTCCTAACTAAGGGAGAAGAACCTTCCCACTACCTCCTTCTTATTCATTAAAGTTTCAGGGATGGGGATATAGCTCAGTGGCACAGGTACCTGCCTGGCAAGCACAAGGCCTTGAGTTCAATTCCCAGTGCAAAAAAAAGGAAATGATTATAATTTCTATCTTTACTCTCTCCATGGGCCTTTTCACTCTCTCCATGAGCTTCAATTCTCATTCTCTCTCTCTCTCTCTCTCTCTCTCTCTCTCTCTCTCTCTCTCTCTGTATTTAGTACAGGGTCTCACTACACAGATCAGACTCAGTGATTCTCCTGTTTTTAACCTCCCAAGCATTGGGATTACAGGCACACACCACCACAACCTGGTGGCAGGGGCTGGTACGGCAGGCCAGGGATCAAACCCCCAGCCCCTCTATCTGCCTAATCAGGCATTTTAATCCATTGAGGTATCTGGCAGCCTTCTTTTATGTATTTCATACAATTGGACTCATAATGATCCTCCTCTCTCAGCCTCCCCAGTGCTAGGATTACAGGCCTGCACCACCACGCCTGGTCATGGTACCTGGCTCACACATCTGGGGCCAGGCCGGCATAGCATGTGGTACCAGGGATTGAACCTGGGTCCTTGTGCTTGCCAGGTAGACACTTAGACCACCAAGCTATCTTCCCCAGCCCCCTACACTGTATTCTTGATCAAAAAAGCACTTCTGAAGTACTACTGCATTCAGGAAAAAACATAGTGAATGAGTCCTTGGCTTGGGAATGTGAACTCTTTGGACTTTCAGCTAACACACCCCATAGTGGCACACACTGCCCTCATCCCACCAAGGGCAGCCAGCTGGTGTGAGGCTTTGGCTTGCAAGCTCTTCTGGGAATTATGAGTAAAGTGCTGAAATATGCTGGGCCTGGGCCGGGGAGATAACTTAATGGCAGAAGCAACTGCCTCGCAAGAGTAAGGTCCTGAGTTTGATCTCCAATACCAGAAAAAAATAAATAAATAAATAAAATAATAATAATAATAATAATAATAATAATAATAATGCTGGGCCTAAAATAAAATGAGGGAGAAAAGTTTAAAAAACGGGGAGGGGGACCAGGAAAATAGCTCAGTAGAATAAGTGCTGCCTGGCAAGCACATGTTCCTAAGTTCAATCCCTGGTACCACCAAAAAGAAAAAAAAAATGCTGGCCTGAGTTCATATTCACATGTTTTGGACATGACACAAAGGTGTCTCTATTTGGCCAAGGCCAGATCCCTCAGTCCTGCAACTGACTGCAAGCTACCCTGATTAAAGATGCCAGGGGCGGGGGTTGGGGAGATGGCTCAGTAGAATAAGCGCTTCCCTGGAAAGCATAAGGTCCTGCGTTCAATTACCGGTTCCACAAAAAAAAAAAAAAAAAAAAAAAAAGGAGGGGCATCAATCATGTAATTAGTAATTTAGCCTGATCTTTTGCATTGAGGGCTGCCACCATGAGATTTAAGACAGAATAAACAAATCTTTCCTCTGCCAGTTACCACTTTCCTACTGGCAGCAATCTAGCTCAAAGCACATTCATCCTTAAAGCAAATTTAAAAGTTTAATCAGAAAGGTGTCCTTGCATGCAGAGTTTTTCCTTTTCCTAAGGAGAAGAACTACATTCCCTGCCATTCTGGAAGTCTACAGGCAGGTCTTTTTTTTTTTTTTTTCTGTTACAGTATGTGAAAGGGCAGGTACCATTCAAAAACCATTTATCCTCAAACATGTGCCCTTGGGGCCAGGGAGATGGCTCAATGGAAAAAACACTTCCCTGGCAAGTGCAAGGGCTTGAGTTCAAGCCCCAGTTCCGAGGGGGGGAAAAATGTGCCCTTCTTGGAAAGAAGAGCCTTCATGAGGGCAAAATGGTCTTGACTGCTCTCTGTGGAGTTTTTTGTTGTTGTTGTTTTTGTGTTTTGTTTTGTTTTGTTTTGTTTTTGCAGAACCAGGGATTGAACTCAGGCCCTTGCACTTGCCAGGGAAGCATTTATCCCACTGAGCCATCTCCCCAGCCCCATCTGTGGAGTTTAAGGATATAGCTAGCCAGGTGTGGTGGCATGTGCTTGTCATCCCAGCACTGGGGAGGCTGAGGCAGGGGGAATCGCTGGGCTGCATAGTAAGTTCAAGGCCAGCCTGAAGTAAATAGTTAAATTTTGTCTCAAAAAAGAAAAAAACCCAAAATAAAAAATAGTGTGTGTGATATGAAGGTTGCAGCCTGGTGCTTTTGTTTGACTTTTTCCAGGTGAACCTGGGATATGGATGATTGCTGATGACAATATTCTACAGACAGATATTGTCACTGGAGTTGGAGTGGCCAGGAGTCCCGGAACCACAGTGATTTTTCATGACATCTTAGGAGTAGTGAGAACATATCGAGAGGTAACCCTGATTACAGTGGGGCCTGGAGTGGCTGTTTTCATACAGAAAACATCCTACAGAGAGATGTGGCTCATAAGTGCAAGCCAGATAGGAACTCTGTCAGAGCACAAAGAGCACTCATTATGCTTCAGCAGAAGAAGGACTGCTCTGATGTCTGTTTTAAGAGATCCCAAGGGGCTGGAGAGATGGCTCAGTGGTCTAAAGCACCTACTTGAAACAAGCTTGGCAAAGCACAGGGACCGCGGTTCAATCCCCAGCACCACATGCCAGCCAGTCCCGCCCCCTGGTGGGCTGAGCTGGCCACACACACACACAATAAAAAAAAAAAAAAAAAAAAAAAAAAAAAAAAAAAAAAAAAAAAAAAAAAAAAAAAGAGATCCCAAGCCAGGCGTGGTGGTACACACCTGCAATCCCAGCCCTGAAGAGGCAGGATCATTGGGAGTTAGAGACCAGCCTGGGCTACAAAGTGAGCTTAACGCCAGCCTGAACTGCATGGCCAGACCCTATCTCAAAAGGAGAGAGAGACAGAGACAGAGACAGAGACAGAGACAGAGACAGAGACAGAGACAGACAGACAGAGCAAGAGTGAAAGTGAGAGAGAAAGAGAGAGGTCACTGTGGTCACTAAATCAGGCATGGGAATATACATCTATAATCCTAGCACCCAGGAGCCTGAGACAGGAGGATCATGAGTTCAAGACCAGCCCGGGTTATACAGTGAGTTCAAAACCAGCTAGGGGCTAGGATTATATGGTGAGACTTTCTTTAAAAAAAAAAAAAAAAAAACTTTTTAAGAGAGATTATGGTTGACACCAGATAGCAAAGGCAAGAGTAGATGGTGAAAGAACATTTAGGGATCTACTGCACTACTCTAGGTGAAATATGATAGCTAAGGAGGGCAACGGAGGAGTTAGTGAGAACCAGAACAGATTCTAGATACATTTTATGGGTAGAGTCCATAGAACCTTCTGAAAGGATATATATAGTGAACAAATCAAAAATGATTCAAAGCCAGGTGTGATGACACATCTGTAACCCAGCAACAGAGCAGAGGCAAGAGGATCACAAGTTTGAGGCACTTTGGGCTGTATACCAAGTTCCAACTACATAAGATTCTGTCTCAAAAAAAAGGAAGAAAGGGCCAGCGAGATAGCTCAGTGGATAAGCACCTGCTTAGGCAAGCACAGGGGCCAGGGTTTGATCCCTGGCACCACATGCTGAGCCAGCCCCGCCCCTGGGCATGCTGAGCTGTGCATTCTAAAGATAGTTGGAATAATAAATTGAGAATGATTCGATAGAGAAGAAAAATTCTGCCTAGGAGTAGGGAGAACTGCTGCAGTGAGATCCTTGATTAGGTAAGATGGACTAACAACTGAAGGGGATTGGGTTTTGTTTTCTCTGTTTTTGTTTTTTAAGTGTTTTGTTTTGTTTTGTTTTGTTTTTTTAAATTTATTTATTTTATTTACGTGTGTGTGTGTGTGTGTGTGTGTGTGTGTGTGGCCAGCTCAGCCCACTGGGAGCGGGGCTGGCTGGCATGTGGTGCTGGGGGATTGAACCGCGGTCCCTGTGCATTTGCTAAGCTTGTTCCAAGTAGGTGCTTTAGACCACTGAGCAATCTCACCAGCCCTTTGTTTTGTTTTTTAACCAGCCTGTGTACTGCATAGGGAAACCCTATCTCATGCACACACAAAAATAATAATGGTTTTGTGGTTCTGATATGTAATTACTAAAAAGTTAAGTTGTATTTGTGTGATCTTTGTGTTTTGGGTTAATTTTTTTTTTTTTTTCCATTCATGTATTTGGTACAGGGTCTCACTATGCAGCTCGGATGCATAGTGATCTTCCTGTTTTCAGCCTCCCCATCCCTGGGATTACAGGCCTGTGTCACCACACCAGGACTCAGTCTCTAGTTCAGCATGTCCCAGAGGCAGGGCTGGTGCAGCATTCAGGACCAGGAATCAAACCCTGGTCCCTGCGCTTGCCAAAGCAGGCACTTAGGTTAAATAAATCTTGAAGGGCTGAAAGGGAGGGAATCAGGTTCTCTGCAGAACAGAGACGTTTTCCTTTGGTCTGCTGACAGGTGACAGTCAAGGCATCATCAAGACTGACATTTACGTATGACCTCAGGACTTCACTCACCAACAGCCCCAACTCAACTGTATTCAAACTCTTCATCACGACTGGCAGAAATGATGTCAATATGAAAGGCAAGGGCTCGCTCTAGATCTGGGCAATTGTTTCCCCTTTCCCGTCTTCCCTGAATTCACTTCCCTGCTCGACTAGCAATACAGGCTTCCTTCTCTTTTTCTTGGGACAGCTGTACTCTGTTCCCAGGCTGGCCTTGAACTGTGATCTTTGTCCCTCAGCCTTGAGTAGCTGGAATTGCAGGTGTACACCAGCATGTATGGCTTCCTTTATTTTAAAACTGACTCCATCTTAACAAATGTGTCACAGAGATCTGAGTCTTCATCCACACATGTATGCGTGTGTGCTGTGTGTGTGTGTGTGTGTGTGTGTGTGTGTGTGTGTGTGTGTGATACTGGGGATGGAACACAAGGCTTTGCAACCTGCAAGACAAAACACACTTTACCGCTGAGCTACACTCCCAGCCTGGATTTTGTTTTTTTTGTTTTAAAGCATAGCATTCAATTTATTATTTCTTTCTCAAGAGAGTTTTCTTCAGTCCATTAAAACCCAGCTCCCCTTCATGGGCTTTGGTGGAGGTCATGGGGCAGCACCCGCAAGTCTAAATTGGGGTGCAGTTTGTTCCTTGTGGGCTTCACGAGATTGATTTCTGATCACGTTGCTGTGAATGGCGCAACTCACAAAATTAAGGCGCTTCCCATACAGCTTGGGAAGCACATAACCGTCGAAGACACTCGTTTTGGAAATGTCCCTGACGGCAGCGGCATCCACTATGTTCCGAATGACAAACTTAATGGCCTTATCCTTAGGTACACACTGGGCGCAGTTCATGCAGCAAATAGGCTGCACATGACCACGGCCCTTTTTGGCACAACTGTTGTTCCTTTTTTTCTTTATCATCTTGGAAAGGAGGACCCCTGGATTAAGTATTTTTCTTGCTTTTGGATTTTTGGTGGTCCTAGGAATTGAACCCAGACCCTTCACAGAGTTAGACCTTCAACCTTCTTTATTTTTTTACTTTGAGATATGATCTTGATAAATTGCTGAGTTGCCCAAGTGGGGCTAAGATTTGCAGTCCTCCTGCCTCAGCTGCCTAGAATGCTGAGATTCCAGGTCATCACCACACTCAGCTTGCATGTTTTTCTGTATCCCCAGAATGGTCTCCCCTTTTACAAATTCCTAGTAATGGTCATTTGCCTCTTTTCTGTTTATCAGGTTCTTGCACCCCAAGTCAGGCCTTGGCCATTATGGAAGTCCTCTCTCCAGAGACCCTGGTGCTGTGCCATGTGCAGTTCAGTAATACGCTGCTAAACATTCCAGCAAGTAAAGTTTTTCACGTCCGCTCAGATTTCAGCATAGAAAAAGGTAGGGTCCACCAGTTGAATAGTTTTTCCATTTGTACGGTTGTCACTTTTTTTTTTTTTTTTTTTGGTGGAACCAGGGATTGAACTCATGCCCTTGGGCTTGCCAGGCAACAGTTGTCACTCTTATCACAATGTACATATGCTTCCAGTTTTGTCTGATAAATAACCATAGTCTTCCTCAGTCCACATCTTGGTTCAATCCATTCAACAAACTTAATACATGCCTCCCAGAAATCTGTGGTTTTCTACTACAGTTTGCTTTTTATTTTCCCTGTTTGCTCAGTGTAGGTCTGAATTGTCTGTTCAGCTTTTGTTCATTTGTTTTTGTGGTTCTGGGGACTGAACCCAGGGCTTCATGAATGCTAGGCAAGCACTCTACTACTGAACTCCTGGCCACCTCCCCACCCTTTTTTTTGACAGGGTCTTGCTATGTAGCCTAGGCTGGCCTTGAACTCACAATGATCTCCTGGATGCTGGGATTGTAGGCATGTACCATTATCCTGGCTGAACCGGGGATCGAACTCAGGCTCTTATGCTTGCCAGGCCAACGTTTATTCCACTGAGCCATCTCCCTGGCCTCCTTGAATGTTTTTGTTTTTCTTCAGTTTTTGTCTTTTTGAGACAGGATTTTGAGACAGAGAATCCCAGTGAGTTCAAGGCCAGCCTATGGTGAGTCCTGTATGGAAAAAAAAAAAAAAAAGAAAAGAAAGAATAACTGGGGAGCCAGGCACAGCAGCACACACCTGTTATCCCAGTTACTCAGAAGGCCAAGGCAGGAATGTGTGAGTTCAAGCCCAGCCTGGGCAACCAGTCTGAGCAACAATGCAAGACCATGAGAATAAACTTTAAAAGCACTAGGATATAGTTCAGTGGTAGAATGCCCTTGTGTTCCATCCCCAGCAACACACACATGCATACAAAAAAAAAAAAAAGAGAGAGAGAAAAAAAAAAGAAATGAAGTAGTTTAAGAGCTGAGGAGGTAGCTTAGTGATAGGACCCTTATCCAACATGAGTTAAGCCCTGGGTTTGATGCTTAGTCCTGAAAAAAAAAAAAAAAAAAAAAAAAGGAGCTTGATAAAGAAATGATTAAGGGGCCGGGGAGATGGCTCAGTAGGATAAGCGCTTGACTGGCAAACGCAAGGATCTGAGTTCAATCCCCAGTTCCACCAAAAAAAAAGAAATGATTAAATCATGCTCAACATCCATCTTCACTTCGTATCCTCGGTCGTCACCAGCCCGAATCGTGTTATTTAACCCTCCCTGACACGCTGACGCAGCAGTATTGACCCTCTAGTTCTGCACTGGGTTCCCAGGCACACTTTTCCTGCGCTACCTGCCCCACGGTGGCCAACAGTGTGATGACACGTGGTACTCAAAGCTGCGTCCACACTCTCTTGTCGAGTTCACACATCACCATTTTTTCCTCCCCATCCTAATTCAATTCACTCCTTAGAGCCTCTGGACCTGCCTGCTGCTTCTGCTCCTTTGCAGGGGTCTATGTCTGCCTGATCAAGGTTAGAGCACAGTCAAAGGAGCTGCTCCAAGCCCTCAGCATGGCCGACACCTCTGTGTATGGCTGGGCCATGCTCCTCAGCAACAGCACCAAGTATGGGATGCAGAGAATCCTCATTCCTTTCACCCCCGCCTTCTACATCAACCAGTCACAACTGTTCCTCGGCCACACGCTAGACACTGCTATGCTAAGAATACAAGGAGTGGACAGAGTTCTTGAGAACCTAGAGGTACGTCAGGATCAGAACCAAAACAGAAATGGGGACTAGGGATTAGAAATTTTTCATTCTCATTTCCAAGGTAAAAGAATTTACTGACCTGAGAAACACCAGTATAGGCAAGTGCTAAGTGATAGAAACATGTTCCCTTTACAGTGCCAGAACTAAAAATCTAGGTCAGGAGTTTCTCAGTGTCTTTAAAAGAACCTTTAGGCTGGGGAGATAGCTCAGCGGTCTAAGCGTCTGCCCAGCAAGTGCAAAGACCCGGTTTCACTGGCCCAGGAACACTAGGTGCACAGTGCCAGCCCCAAAAGCAGGGCCCTGTACGAGAGAGAGGAGAGAGGAGAGGAGAGGAGAGGAGAGGAGAGGAGAGGAGA